CATTCTCCTCTTTCTCCCGCGGCAGCCACCGCCTACCCTTACAAAACCACATCGCCGGCCGATTAGGACAATAATAGCAGTCGTTCTCGCCGTGACGACGACCACAATCGGTCCGGTTGACCGCCGGCTCCTTCCCCATCTTCACCGAACTGTTCTTGGCGGTGGCGGGAGACTGGTGGCGGCGGCGGCGGAATTAATGGTTGGGGCTTCGAGCGAACTCCGGCGTACGGACGGCGACCGGCGGTGGGTGGGTGGATCTGGTGATGGCGGGGCGGCGCTGGGTGACGTAGGAGACGACGGGCGGTGGCTTTGGGCTGGAGAGCCGTCGTGTGTGTGTGTGTGTGTGTGTGACCTGTGTGCGTGCGTGAAAAACCAGACATTTGTGTGTGTGTGACCTGTGTGCGTGCGTGGAAAAACAGACATTTGTGTGTGAGATGGGGGAGGGGAAAGGTTAATGGTGGGGTCCACATTAATTATTTAATGAATGTATAACGACTAATTTACCCCTACTGAGTGGTAAAAAGCATATTAATGACCACAATTTATACACTTATTTACCATACTGCCACTCATATTTAACCATTATTTATTTAATTTTCACTTAATCATGACCATTAGTTTGGTGAATCCAATGGTCCAGAATCATTCTTATTTCTTTCACTATCCCTCTTTCTCATATGATCCCTTCTCTCGATCTCTCTCTCTCTCTCAATATATATATTTATATATATATATATATATATATATATACTAGTCGCTTCTCACAGCCGGCTTAAATTTAATCGATAATCAAGTTAAAATTTGACTAACTTTACCCTCATAATTTTACACATATTGCGAAACGTAGTAGGAATGAGATATAGGACATATACATAGAGTACTTGCAATCATCCGACTGAGACGATTGTGCATAATGCGTATCTGATGTTTAAAGATGCAGTTGACGATCCTACCTATTTGAAGTATAAAGCAATACTGGCCCCGAAACTAAAAGTTGTTAATCAATAAACGAGTACATGATTACTTTAAATATGTCGGATGGACAAACAATTCTCAGTTCTGACACCGCATCGAAATCAAAAGGTGGTGGTACTTTTTTACACGAATTGCAGACTCCTAAATTCTTGAACAACACTAAATGCTCCGGTGTTCCAAATCACGAACTACATACGAAAGTCAGCACTTCAGTAATTTTGATGAGAAGCGTTGATCACTTAAGTGGTTTGTGCAACGATACGCATTTGGTTATAACGAGGCTCGGTAGTCATGTGTTGCAATGCATAGTTTTAACGAGTTCGAACAGTGGAGAATTGGTTCTTATACCAAGAATTAGTTTGACTCAATGGGATGTAAGAATTCCTTCCAAGTTCCATAGATGCCAATTTCCCCTGATGGCTTCTTATGCGATGACGAGTAACAAGAGCCGGTGACAATCTCTTTCTCATGCTAGTTTATTTCTGAAGAATTTGTATTTACGCATGACAAGCTTATTGTTTCACGAGTTACAAATAGGAAAGGGTTGAAGATCTTAATTTGTGATGATGAAAACAACTCGCAGACAAAGAATGTTGTATATAAAGAAGTAATGTGTAATCATCCCTTTGTAGAGTGACAATTCATATTTTAATGATATTTTTTGTAGCTCCCATGCATTTGCAGGAGTAATCGTACTAGTTGAAATAAAATAAAAGATGTACCTTTTCCAGTCGCAGTTGCAATGTTACTCTTCGGGAATTGTATTTGGGTCGAGGAAATCCCCATTTCGGTCGGATGATGTGTCTGTATGTGTTGTTGCATTGTTCCGTACCCATTGCCTGTTTTGAAAGTGTATTTTTTTATGCCGTTTGGTAGAAAATGGTTGCAAATACATATACAATGTTTGTCACCTTTTTTCTCATTGGTCATTTTCATAAAACTAGTATATAGCCCGTGCGATGCACGGGTAAATAATATTAAATAATAATTATAAATTAACGATGACAGTAAACAATATTAATTAATAATTATAAATTAACTATGAGGGTAAACAAGATTAACTAATAATTGTAATTAAGATGTGGAGTTAATATGTGACATAATATATCGTATATCAGTTATAAACAATATAAAATTATCTTGTATAAAATAACATAAAAAATGTATGTTTAAAATATTAAAAACACCTAAAATATTATATTACATATGTAAAGTATCTAAAATTTTATATATCATTATTGAAGATGTGAAGTCACCTAAAATCTTTCTAAACTATTTTATAAATAAAACATGTCTAAAATTATTTAAAAAAATCTTGCCGAAAATTTATTATTCAATTTCTAGAAGATGATGGTAAGTATAAGTTTGAATATTAGAATCCACGTGAGTATTACAAATTATTCATTATGTTAATTTCTTGTGAACTTCATATTGATTTATTGATTTTATTTTATTTCTATACAAAGTTGATCGTCTCATTTTGTTTTACCATATTTTCGTGGAGATTTAACAAAGTCGATTGCATTTATAAAATGATTTGGATATCAACATACAATTTATAATAGAGTTTTCAAAATTGTGTACTATTAACAAATAATATGTTATCATTAAATATTTTTTTTAAATGCACAATTATTGAGACTGATAATTTGATAATTATTTTACCTTTTGAAACTGAGTATAGAAGAAACAATAGATTTGTAAAAAAAAAAAATTGATAAACATTACCAAGTTTATTATCACACGTTCCAAATAAAAAAAAATTGTGAGGATTAGTGGAAAATGATATTTAACGAATAGCATTCAATATTTTTTTTGAAAGGCATAAATATAAAGACCGATATTCTAAAATGTTTATTACCTTTTGAATTAAAATTTTATAAATATAGAGACTGAGATTTTAATGTTCTTCGTTGTTTCTGTTGTTGTATGAAATTAACAACTTAAAATTACAAACAGCTGAGTGTGTTTAAACGACGAGTAATATAAAAATAGATTGTATTTGATATATTCACATGAGTACAGGAGTCGGTTTTTTATTCTTAACCGAGATCATCTCAAGCCCATGTACAATGTGTTGAAAAAAGGAAAAAAGATCCTCGTACTATCATAAATTCTGCTATTTATAGTACGGCATTTTTTGTCTTTTTGTTCGAAATAGATAGGAACGTATTTAATGTTGAGCTGCTTCACTTAAGCGGTGAGGCGGTGTGTTTTGGTCTGGGAAACATCAATGATTGCTCTTTTGTTTTGATGGTCCAATCAGGTGCTTTCAGCTTGTTTTACGTTTGGATATTTGAACTTTGTGGTAGTCGGTTTAAAATAAAGAAGTTTTGATATGACTAACCATCCCGTTGGCAAAGTCGGTCATCGGTTCTTTCTCTCTTGTACATCTCGGAAGTCGGTATATTTCAACAAATACCGACTTACCTTAAGTTTGTCTTTTTCTGGCGGATTTACTCCAAGGGCACAATTAATCACCACTTTTAATCGTATAATCAAGTCGGTTATCAACAGAGAGGCCCCCAACATTAGTAGGTATTTGAGCTTTTTGAATGGTTGCTGATGTCGTTTGTTGTTCCGTGTTATTTCGACTTGATTGTTACTGACGACCGACATGAGAGCACTTTGTTCTATTTGTCATCTCTTGTATAATATTTGGCTTGACGTGGCAGTTCTCAAAAGACGCGTTCGTATTTAATGGGTCCAACGGATACAATCTTTAACGACATGGTGTTTCTGAGCGTGTCCACGTGTATTAATGATTACTATAACGTTTACACCGTTTCGAGATACGTCCGTTACACGCGCCGTTTTCGGATTTTACCAACGGTTATAAATCAAAACCTATAAATTGCAGTCGGTTTTGATATGTGAGAAGTTCCTTCATCTTAAATCTTCACATCTCCTGCATACTTCTGTGTTCCATCTTTTTTGACTTTTGCTTTCAGTCTCTTTCTTGCGTAATTTGTATACTTTGTCTGTGTTTTCTTCAATTCAGAGCTTTTGAGAACTTCGGTAAGAATTTGCCCTAATCCTTTACTTTTCTTTACTTATCAATTCCGAACTTGCTTGTTCTTTTATCGATTTCAAAAAAGATGTCTGCCCAAGCTGAAGATAGCAGTAGTCGTACAGTTTCTGAGATTTCAATTTTCACCGACGAGGATTTGGAACTTCCTCTTGAATTTTATCAGTGGGATCCTCTTCTAGTTAAGAGTCTGAATCTTAATAGAGATATTATAGAGGAGGATCGATTGGTCGAAGGGAATGTTATGTCGCTTCCCAATTACTGGAGACGTCCTGCTCGTCGGTGGCCCGAACCAATTGATGAGTACAGAGGTGAACCGAGCATCTTGACTGACGCTGATATCGTCAATCTCCAAGGAGAAGTTTATATTCCCTCCTCGGTGAGGTTGTTTGCTCCTTATCCAGGGGAAAGGATCACTTGTCCCCCTCTGGGCTGTGTAGGTGTATTTGCAGACTCGTTAAGATCTGGACTTTGGTTTCCACTCCCAGCGCTAATCACCGACTATTTGAGGGATTGGGGGTTCGGTTTATGTCAGATAGCACCGAATACCTGGAAGAGGATCATTGGCCTCATAGTTCTTTTGAAGGAAAAGGGTTGGGATATGCCAACCGTTGAAGAGATAAGGAGTCTCTTTACATTTAGACGATGCGCCGACAGACAGGTGGCCGATCACTTGATTTGCTATGCTTGTGCGGGAAGGCCCCAAGGAGGATTAAAAATTGGCGAGCTGATTACTGAGATCCCTGAGTCTCTTCATGGATTTCAAGAGGAGTGGTTATGGGTTGGAGGAGACTGGCAAACCCCAAACTTTTCAAAACCTTTAATTGATGGGATGACTATTCCCATCAATATTAATTCCGCATTTTGTAAGTTTTCCTTTTACTTCTTTTATCGAGTTATCCTGACCGCTTATTTTTGTACTAACAGGTCAGCGCTTTTACTATTTGCAACCAAAAGCAAAGGATCGAAACTCAGTGTGACTTTAAAGGAGAGAATTACCGAGCTGTTTAAGTTGAAGAAAGCTCAACGTAGTTACAAGTTTCTCTTGAAGGATACCCGGTTGAAAGCGGCTGGTCTTTGTCCTGAGATTTCAGACGGTTCTTTCCAACCAGGTAAACTTGAATAAATTTTCGATTTCGTTCAAAGTTGGTTACTTTTAAAATTGATCATAACTCGGTTCTCTACTTGCAGTTTATTATCCGCTTCTTGGTGTTCTCGGGTTCAAGACTATTAGCGACGCCAAAGCTTTTTGTCAAAAGAGTCCAAACTTGGATCTTCGAACGAAAGTCGGTAAAAGCAAAGAATTACGCTTATCAGGAATGGGTCGTAAGAAATTAGTGAAGGCGTATCTGGAAAATCCGATCATTAACCCTCCGAAGACCGATGTCGGTGATGGCGCCACGTCGGCGACTGCTGCCGAGATTTCGCAACCAGATCCATCGGCAATTGCAGCAGTAGGTCCGATGGCTGCCATCGCTGCTGCTACTGCTGGTTCATCTGAAATTATACCAATTGTTGAGACCGCTCCACCGGAAGCTCCGCTTGTTATTGAAGTTTCCTCCAATGAGCCTAAAGGTGATCGAGAGATTGTCTCAGAACGTGAAGTTCCAGCTACTCGGTCAAGAAAAAGGCGTGCAGAGAACGTTCCAGTTGCAGAGGAACGAACAAAAAAGATGCACGACATCGGTGAGTGGGGAAAGAAGAAGAAAGAGCCTTTGATCGATCGATCTTTTCTGCCTATCGATGAAGAAAGAGCTCTAAATTTTCGGCAGCCTCGGGAATCAGTTGAGAAATGGTTCTCGGCTTTTGAATCGGTTGAGATTCCTGAGATATCAAGCACAGTTGAGTTGTCTGGTCATG